ATGCTCTTTGTTAATACATTCTCTCATTACGTTTCAATTTGGATGTAAAAAAGAACCATTGCAGCTCATATTTGACTTAGAAATAAATATATTGTGGAGTACCTGCTGGGCTTGTTATTAACTCTGGGATTTTCAGTGTTGCATCGGTGACTTGAAAGTCAACAAAATTGTGCTGTTAATGGATTTTCTACTCTTCCGTGATGGGAACACTTTTGAAAATCACATTCTTGGGCTCAGTCTCACTGAAATATTTTGTCATCTCAAAAACGCCAAAGGTGATCCAGATGTTGTCTTCTGCTCCTGAACTATGAGGATAAAGGAAAAATTCCTTCTCAGAAGGAGATCAGGCTGCCCAGGTGGGGGAGTCCCTGTCCCTGGAGGGAACATCTGTGGGGATGTGGCACTGGGGGATGTGGGCAGGGGGCACGGCGGGTGGGCTGATGCTGGGGATCTCAGAGGGCTTTTCCAACCTTAATGATTCTATGATTCTTTTTTAAGTAGGAGCAAACGTTCACGATCTTGTCCTTTTTCCGAGGCTGTCTATGTGATTCCATTGCCTCCACTGACAATGAAAACTTTTCAGTAAGAACACCAACATTTTAGTATGGGTTTTAGCAGCAAGGGCATGGAGGTTTTCACTTCTCACGAGTTCCTGGTCCTGCAGTGCAGGAGGCACAGGGCTTATCCTGCACAGCGTGGCTGTGGGGTGCAGCCCTCAATGCCTGAGGAGGAGGAGGTTGAGGAGGATGAGGAAGGCTCTTGGCAGGGCAGCAGTGTGTGTGTCTGGCTGTTGGCTGGCAGGCACTGACTCTCTTAGCAGCTCAGACTGTAGCAAGGAAGAGCTGCAGTGGCAGCACTCTGGCTTCCACCATGGATTACTGGTTTTGTTTAGGGAATGAGCCAATGGATGGTTGTAATCAGTTGCATTTTTTCGTGCTCTGGAGGTACCAGGCTGGCTGCAAAGTGGCTGAGCAGTGGAACCCTGTTCTTTCTTTCTCAATCAGTTCTATTTGCTGCTGCTGAGTGGTGTGAAGGTTAGCTCCATCCTCTGAGCTCTGGAAGCAGGATGCTGCCTGCATGCCTGGGGATGCTCTGGCTGTGGTGCAGGGCCTGGGCAGCAACAGTCACTTTCCTCCCTTAGTTCTGCACAGGAGGCTCCTCCTGTCTCAGGCAGCTCCAGTCTGCTTTGAGTAATTGCTTTGCCTCTCTCTTATTGGCATGATTTATTGAGGACATGCCTGCTGTCATTTCATCCTAGTCAAAATAAATGCTCTTATCTTTGTTTTCTCTTAGCAGCAGAATGCAGTGAATACAGGCAGATGTTTCTAAATGAAGAAGAACACAAGGGATGATCCTTTCTTTGTGTTCTGGTGAGGAGACATCCCAGAGGAGCCCTGCCCGGGAGCATGCAGCTTCCCCAAGCAGCACCCTGTGACAAGCAGGGTACAGCTGGTGGGAGGATCCTGCTGCTCCCAGCTCTGAGGTACCCTGCTCCTGAAACAAGCATGCCCCAATAGTGGAGCTGAGTTTTAGGAACTCCTGTTGATGTCACCTGGCTTTGCCATCCCGTAGGCTGGGAAATGCACTGGGATGTGCGGGTGACTGCATGCTGCTTCCTGTGCCACCACCATGGTGCTTTGAGGCTGACTCCATTCGTGAAGCAGAGGTACAGCGCATGAATTCTGGTAACACCATTCCTGTGGGTGCTTCAAGGAGCACAGGTTTTGTAAAGTATCATTGCATTTAGGAAGTTTAACAGAAGAGGAACCTGTGAAGCTAGAGGAATGGCATTTGTGTAATTGAAAGTTGCTCCTCCTGTTTGCCTGGTGCTGCCCAACTTGATGTGTCCCCTGGTGCATATATGGGGACAGCATTCTCTGCTGCAGAACAAGCACAGCTGGGAATTTCCCATTCAGTTCTTGGGCTGTGCGAGCAGTGATGGACAATGACAGGTCAGGTGTGCTTGGTAACTGGGCTGTCCACTATGGCTGTCCCAGGGCCAGTACAGCTATAACCATTCCCAGTAGGACCAGCACAGCTATAAGCAGCCCCAGCCAGGCCAGCTTCCCATGTTGTGAGCTGACCAAGGAGCAGGAGATGCAGCTGACACCAAAGCTGCTGTGCCTGCAAGTAGTGGAAAGATTAACCACTTATCTGTCCACTGCAGGGATCCCATCAGCATCACTGCCTGCATTCTGCAGAAATTAGGGGAGGAAAGCAGTTTTTGTTTGGGGATGAGCCAATTTTCCTCCTTAGCCGCCACAGGGTGATGCCTCGTTCTGCTTGCTCTGTCTCTGCTGTTGTGTTTTGGATCTCCCAGTGAGAAACTTCCAGTGATTGTTTCTGTAAGATCTTCCTCCTTCATTCACAACTTTTTCTCTTCCTTCTCCACCCCTGTGCAGCTGTAGCTGCACTGGGGCCACTCTCTCTGGGTGCTCGGGTACCCAGGCTGCTCTCACCTGCCTTAGTCCTCCTCTGTCCTTGCAATGTCATCATGGTTACACTGAGATACAGGCTGCTTAGCTTTTTAAATGACAGTAAAGTGCATTTGCACTGAAATAATTTTTAAAATGGAGAGGTGTTTCCAAACACAAAACTTATGGGTGGGTGCTCCTTGGCTTTAAGGGTATCCAGAAATGTGCCAGGTTCTTTGTGGCTGGTATTTGGGTATTATTCCAGCCCAGGTTATGTGGAGTTCATATTGAAAGCTTATATTGCATTATGGCATTCAGTGAAATCCACCGAGTTTATTTGTATTCCAAATCCATCTATTGCAAAGACTGCTTTTTCGTGAGCACAAAGTACTAGAAAGCATAAATATTTATTTCTTAAAGTTTATGATTGCCTTAAATCATTCGAGCTTATTTAGCAGGCATAAGTTATAATTGAAGTAAGCCATTGAGCCTGATCTGCATGTGTTAAAAATATCTATACGTATGTGTATATGTATCTATGTATATACTTGAGTCAAATACGGGTGGAAGCTCTGAGCTAATTGCTTCCATCACATTGAAAGACGCACTGATCATTTTATTTTTCCTCCAGATGATCATAAATCACTGCAAAGAGACAGTTAAAGCTGCACAGAGCAGAGCCATGCTTCAACGTGCAGTGTGTGTTTGATGGATAAAAGCTGAGCTGATACGCAGTGCTGTATGTCCATCCATAGGGAGACAGCTCAGCACATCGTGACCTTATTCCAGGTTCATTTGTGGAATTGCAGACGGCCATAGGTTTGCATACATGAAGGGATGCTTCTGCTCATGGGCTCCTTAGGAGCGGCCAACTTCGAAGTGCTCCCATGGCCATTGTGCTACAGGGAGCACAGCGGGCGTCCCGCCGTCCTGCTTCTCTCCTGGAAGGGATTTATTTGTCCAACATTCTTACCTCTGTCTGGAGTCCCGCTGGCTCCTTGCCATCTGTCCCTCTGGCTGCAGCCGTGCCAACAGCTGGTGGAGCTGCCAGCCTGCTCCTGTCAGCCCAGCAACTGCTGCCTGCGGGGTGCGGGTGGCACATTGGCCATCCTGGCTCTGGCAGGGCTGTAAGAAGCCCATACAAACGTTCGGTGTCTGCTTACATCTGATTTTCATGCCTCAGGAGGAGGGCAACAGAATACAACATGGGGGTGGATGTGCTGCAGCGCTGCTCAGGGTGCACGTCCTCCTGGCTGTGTGTGGATGGAGACGTGCAGCACAAGCACTGTCTGCAGAATGCTCACTTTGAAGGGGAAACTCCCCTCTCCCAGAAGCTGAATCCTGCATCCCCAAAGGCCACATGGAATTACCTATTGTGCTCTCACTGAAGTGACAACCAAGAGTACAGTTTTGAGGAATAAAAAGTGTATCAAAGTATCCATTGCTATAATAGAACCAAATGTTATATTCAGGGAAGCAATCGGTGTTTTTCATGTTAGTAAAAACTGGGTTCAATCTGCTTTGACAGCTGGGACCTGGGAAACAAAGATCAGTGAAGAAATGGGCAGAGTACAAGAAGAAAAAGAATGGACGTTCCAGAAATGATCCCAAATCCTGCAGAATGCAGAAAAGTTTGGATGAGAACTCTTTGATGGTATCAGAGTCTGCAGTGAAATGGAAGGGCAGTACATTCTGCAGCCTGCATCACACCTGGGAAATACGGTGTTACTGTCAGATTGCCTTAAACTAGGGATGTGTCTCGTCTGTTGGTTGGACTTGATGATCTTCAAGGTCTTTTCCAACCTGAGCAATTCTATGATTCTGCCAACTCAGCCTTGAAATGGTGCTTGTGAGCAGGAGATGGAGACTGCTAATGGAGCACCTGAATTCGTGTCTGAGTTGAGATGGTGGGAAGTTGTCCTTTAATTCTGGAAAAATACGTGCTGCCTGAATGCACTGTTAATGGGAAATCAATGCTCCAGATTTGACCTCAAATCTGGCACTAGCCACAAATTCTCAAGGTTTAAGTAGTGCAGTTTAATTAGCATCAATTTAGCAGCAATCTGGGTTGCTAATTTATCATGAATAAGGCATTTGAGCAGTTCAGTGATTTTCTGTTTTGTGAATCATCTTTGAGAAGGCTGTGATTCACTGGGATCAAGCTGGTATTTGAAATTATTGGCAAAATATTTCCCATGGATGGGATGGGACACAGGTGGATTGTGGTGAGCAATAATGGGAAATGGATGTGTGCTATTTAGTCTTAATTAAGAAAACTGATCCTGCTGTGTGTGTCTTTTCTGAAGGCACTAAGATGTCCTTGTACATCTTGTTTTGAGGATCACATCTGTGTTAATGCACAATATCTGCTTATTTGTTGAAAGCCAATGGATGGGGCGCTCAGGCTGGACCACTCACTTGTACAAACACAGACCTGGTCCCTCTAGCCTTGCCAAGGGTGTGGGGCAGAGAGTTCACAGGAGGTTGGACAACCCTTTTGAGAAATAAGGCTGACAAAAGTGCATTGTTTGATGCTGTTTGTGTCATCTGGAAAGAAAACATGATTTCACTGTGGTTTGAATGCAGGTTCAGCCTCGAGAGTGGATGCTCGACTGGGTCCTTTGATGCCAGCACAAGTCACCAGGGTGACTGCTGTGGCTGCACCAGCTGTGACAATCATGGCAACCAACTTGATGGAGCAGACACTAACAGGTGTGTACGTGCTTCTGTAGACAGATTCTATCACTGAGACATATGCTCTGTGTCTGTGTTGTGATCAAACCCTGCTTTCCACTCTGCATGGTAACAGGGAACTCTTACAAAATGGGCTCTGATTTTGGCATTTGCAGCAGCTAGCTGTGAGAGCTTTTGTTGGCTCAGTCTGGCACTTGGCAGCAGTTTGGCATCTGGTGACACAAAAGGCAATTTCTGCACTGTCCTTGGGCTTTCTGTTTCCCATGCCAGTGGCATTCACAAGTCTGTGGTGATAAAGCAGTTTCTTTTGGATAGGTGCTCCTTGAAGCTCCTTGGCTCATGTCTCCAACGATGCTGCATGCTGTGCTGTGTGATAAAACCGTGTTGTTCATTCTCACGTCAGTGTGTGTGTGTTGCAAAAGGGAGCAAGCACTGTTCCTAAAAGCTGGGAGAAGTCTCGTGGCCTTGCTTGGATTTGTGTATACTCCTTGCAAGTCAGGATCAAAGAATTCAGATTTTGGTAGAAAATTGGGAGCATCTTTCCTAGCAAGATGAAATTCTGCAGTACTGCTGTTATGGTGAAGACAGAAGCTCTGGTGGGGGGCTGGAGAGTGGGGGTGAGACTGCATTTGGATTGGACAGATTGTCCCCTGCAGGGGGGAGCTGCAGCTGTTGGCAGAGGTGAGAGGTGGCAGCAAGATCCCTGCAGGTGTGCTTGCAAGGTGAGTGCATTGTGAGCCACATCTCATGGCGCATGCTGGGCATCGTAGGCAATTATGGGCTGTCAGTTCTGCTATCACTTCTCTGGCCCTCTGTGCCCATACAGGTCTTCCCCACTGCTCAGGTAGATGTGTCAGAAAAAACACTTTGGGGTTAGCTGTGCCAGGGCAGGGCTGCCCACTGCCAGGTCTGCCGGTGGAATTTGCCTTGCTGAGCATTCCAGCTCTGAGACTTTCCAAAAATATTATTACACAGACATCAATCTGAAGGAAAGTTCGTAAATGGTTCTTTTGACATGCTTTGTTTTAAAGTTTCTCTTTGGCGCAGTTTGCTTTTGCAAAACACCACCTGCTTTTTTTCACCACAGTATTTACAAAGACCTGTTTGTTCTCCCCAGAGCCACTGAGGTGCTGTTGACTTGCTTTCTTGTTGGGAATGAGCAACAGAAGAAATATTAGAACTGTATAAAAAATGCACAGATGGAAAGACAAAGACTGTAGAATCATAGAAAGGCCTGGGTTGAAGAGGACCACAGTGATCATCTAGTTTCAACCTCCTGCTATGCGCAGGGTCGCCAACCACCAGACCAGGCTGCCCAGAACAGATCTGTGCTAGAATCACGCTGTTCTGCCCTTTGTTGCTTGTGGGAAGCTGAAATCATGGTTTGTAATGTATTTCATGTCAAATGTGTCTGCTGTCCCCCCTTTGGTGGGCTTGCACAAGCCCTCCTGATCTGTCCATCCACTGGATGAGGACTGCGTTGTATGAAGCCTTTGATATTTAATGACTTTGGTGAGTGAGCCAATAGAAAATCTAGGGGTGACACTGCTGAGAGCTTTCATAGAATGAATCATAGAATCATAGAATGCTTTGGGTTGGAAGGGACCTCTAAGATGATCAAGTTCTAAACCCCTCTGGCAGGCAGCGACACCTCCTACAGACCAGGTTGCTCACAGCCCATCCAGTGGTTTGGAAGAGCAATCACTGTATTTTTCCTTGTGTACAAGTAATGTAAATAGGATGAAAATTTTATGTTTGTTTTTGGCTTTCCCTTGAAAATTGAAAATGCATTCATCTTCCTCTGATATTCATCTTTGATTTCCTGCTGACTGCACTGAGAGAAGAACAGCAATTTCACTCGAGTTTTTTCTGTAACATTTCTCAGGAGATGACACTCCCTTCTGCAGGATGCTATCAGCTGTCGTTATTTCCAGTGGAAAAACAATCAAAGAAAGAATGACGATTAAGAGGAATTGGCAATAATGCAGGTGATTTCAGGTGTCAGCCACCAGGTAGCCCAGGAAAGGAAGCTGGTGGGGTATGAGAGCTGTGTTTGGGCAGCCTGGTGAGCATCAGCTCCATGCAGTCAATCTGTAAACTCCTGAGTTGAGCATTTCATTGTGCACATGGCATCCTGAGCCACCATGCTCTGCTTGCAGTGCCCATGGCAGGAACAATAAGCCAACAAATGTCTTTTGCAGGACATTCCAGCCGTGCTTCCATTCTGCAGTATAGATAAGTTTTTTTCTGACTTTGCTTCTAAAGACAAAAGCTGTGTGTTCAGGGACACTTAGTGCAGTTGTATTCTGCTCATGATAGCACAAAAAATTCTTCCTTCCTCAAGACAAAATTAAATTTTTTTGGGATGTCTGGGGCAGAGGTAATAAACAGAGTCTACAACAGTCCTGGCTTCCAGTAACCATTTATTTTGTGATGGAAGCTGGAAAAATCTAATGCCAAGTACAAATCATATTTGTTTCCTGTTGTGGTTTAACCCGGAGGGGCTCAGCACTGCACAGTCATTCACTCCATCCAATGTGATGGGGAGAAGAACTGAAAAAATCAAAGTAGAGCTCATGGGTTGAAATAAAACTGTTTAGTAAGATAGAGAAAAGGATGATTGTTATGACTATGTTTACATATAGGAGGAGGATAAGCAAAGTCAACTCACTGAAAGGGTAGATAACAGCAGGACAAGGGGAAATGGTTTTAAGATGAAGGAGGGCAGATTGAGGTTAGATGTCAGGGGGAAGCTCTTTGCTATGAGAGTGGTGAGGTGCTGGAACAGCTGCCCAGAGAGGCTGTGATGCCCCGTCCATCCCTGGAGGTGTTCAAGGCCATTGGATGGGGCTCTGGGCAGCCTGGGCTGCTATGAAACGTGGAGGTTGGTGGCCCTGCGTGTGGTGGGGGGTTGGATCTTCATGATTCTTGAGGTCCCTTCCAACCCGGGCCATTCTATGAATCTATGATATATATATATGAATGTATATAACAAGTGATGCACAAGCAATTGCTCACCACCCTCAACCAATGCCCAGTGAGCTCCCAGAATAGTGTGAGATGAACTCCCAGCCCTTCAGAACTCCTTCTGCTCCACATCCTGTGATATGAAGTGTCCCTTTGACCAGTTTCAGTCATCTGCCCTTGTTCTGTTTGCTTCCTGGGCCATTGGCTGGGATGGCTTGGGCTGTACAGCTCTGCTCAGCTGCAGCTATCCAAATCAGGCTGCTAGCAGCATCATTTTTCTCTTAGAACCAGAGCTGAGCATTGTACCAGGCACTCTGAAGAGAACAATTCCATCCCAAGCAAGCAAGCCCAGGTAGAAGCAGGCTGCACAGAAGCACACACACGCAGCTCCCAGTGCTGAGGGGTATCCATGCACGTGGTGTCTGGTGCTGCTGCATGGACGCTGTGGGACAGGAGCACAGAGCAGTCTATGCTGGGGGGGTTGGGTGGCATGATGTGTGCTTTGCTTGTTTGCTGGGGAAGTGCTGGATATGGCAGTAGATCTCCTTTAAAATAGAATATCTGTTGTTAAAGTAGTGGCAAATGTCACCTCTGGGAGCGTGTAGGCTGTGTATCTGAGGAGCCAGGAGAGATGCTTGTCTGGGACCTCTGCACCAGGCATGGAGCCCACTTTGGTACAGCAGACAAAGAACGTGCTGCCATCATCCTACTGCTTCTGTTCAAAATCTTCAGGAAAATAACAGAGTGAATGGGAAAAGATTGCTGTAGTGGCAACAGACTGCTCCAGGAGGGACATTTAAGGAGGGAGGGAAGCACAGTGGAGTTTGACAGATCACGGTGGAACGTGTCAAAGCAGACGCAGACACTTCTCAGAGGGTGAAATAAGATGTGCAGGAGCAGACCAGGAGATGCCCATTGCATTGAATGGTTGTGATGGGTTGAAGGTGGGACCCACATCTGTGGGAGTGGGGCACAGAAGTGTGCATGTCTGCAGCAGGGACAGCCCAGGGTAGCCTGGGGGCTAACCTACAGCATGGACACTTTAAGGAAGTATTCAGTGCAAAAATGAAACACTGAATGCCTAAAGTGTACACTTGAAGTAAACCCAATTCTTTGCAATATTTAGAGTCAACGTTTTAAACCTATTTAAACTGCCATTGAGAGTAACAGAGGTCTGGCCTCTAAAACCCTTAGCAGAGCAAAGCTTGATTCTGTCTTTGTCCATATCTTTTCACGGAGCGAATCAGCCTGCTCTAATTCTGCATTTAATAGCATGTTTATCATCACACACCTCCATCTGCGGCAATATACGTAGCATAATTTTCCTACTTCACCTCTACTTTTCATTCTGTGAATTATTCATGTCCTCTGGCTGCCGTGGAGTCTCAGAGAAATCCCTTTCATCAGGTTTCCTGACGCAGGCCTGGCACGAGCACATCGCTGGTAATTATACTGCTAAGTTTAGGGGCAAAACTGCTGTGTGATTATGTTGGAAGGACGTCACAGGGCTTAACTGCCTGCCTGCACTGCATTTCATGCATGTAAGTTTAAGAGAAACAAAAAGGTTGATTAATGGGAAAAGAGTAACCCTGAGCAACGATGTGCACCAGCTGCCCATGGAGGGTGATGCTGCGGTTGCCTTTCCAGTGTGTCTGGAGAAGCAGCCCCTCATCTTTCTGCCCAGCCCCATCCCAGGGAATGCTCCCAGAGCCTGGAGTGTGCCTGGAGGCTCAGAGCTGGCTGGGGAGGCACAGCCTTACAACTTCAGTCTCTCGATACAGTAATTTTGGAAAACCACCTCAGTATTTGCTGTGGATATAAAAGGAATTGACTCCCGATGTGCGCAGTGACTTAGAGCACTTCTCCCCCATCTTTCTTTTTTTAGATTTTTCTAAATTTCCATTTTATTTCATGTAAATTCACAATGTTGGGAAAGTCTATGTCGTGTGTGAATGCTTAATGAACAGTGCTGTAGAACAGTGGTGTGCTGTGCTGACCATGCTGTTTCAAGCAGAGGTGCTGCACCCACATCCCTCTGTGAGGTCACTGCCCAGATGATGTGAGAGCTTTTCAAAGGAGAAGAAATGAGAGGTTGCTTCAGGCACTGCCAGCACAGAGCATCTCTGCAGGGAAGCCGTGTAAGGCCCAGGGAGTGAGAGCAGCTGCACAACTTCAGTTCAGTCAGCTCAGCTGCCCTTGGGCTCTATGCAGCAAATAACCTGCAGCTGCAGCCAGCAGGGTGAGAGCAGCAGCAGAAGCAGTAGGGCTACCCCTATGCTACCTGCCTTTGCACCAAGCCAGCACTGAGTTGTCAGTGTTTCAGGTTCTGCCAAATGTCATGTGTGCAATAGAATCATAGAATGGCTTGGGTTGAAAAGGACCACAATGATCAAATGGTTTCAACCACCCTGCTGTGTGCAGGGTTGCCAACCAGCAGACCAGGCTGCCCAGAGCCACATCCAGCCTGCATGTAGTTTCCTTAAATCTATCAGCTGGCATTAATATGTTTTTATTATTGTATGTAAGTTAACAAATGATGCCAGCTTGGTAAATATGTTCTCTTGTTCCTCGTGTGTGCATACACTGTGTGTGGGTGAATGAAAGCTCTTGGCTTCCTCTTAATCAGAATGGTAATGAAGAACGTAAAGGCATTGAAACAGCCTTTCTTTCTAGGATTAGAGAAGGAGATAGGAAGAGGCAGAGCTGCAAATGGGGTTAATGTGATTTCCCTGCTGAAAGAAAGATAAGCCCAAAGTCTCTTAAGCATCATCCGAGTGTTTAGCTCCTTCCCTTCCCTTCCCTTCCCTTCCCTTCCCAGCATGTTTAGCTGCTTCTTCTTTGCATGACAGCACTGGGGCTTTGCACTGTCAGGGCAGCGCTTTGCTGCTGTGTCACCAGGAGGTGCTGAGCCCTCCAGGGCTCTTTCTTGGGGGTTATTTCTGCAGATGGCCTCCAGCAGAGCTGCCCCAGTGGCTGCACAGCCCACATCAGCAGTGGGAAAACACAGCTCAGGGTAAGGGAGTGAAGTACTTCGGTGGATGTGAGGAAACAGCACATCTGTCCTCTGCTGTGTTTTGGAGCACGGGAATGAATCAGCAGAGTGGAATTTGAACCAGGTGTGTAGATGTGCCTCTCCTTCACAGAGTGAAGAATGAGAGAAATATCCTTGCTTCTCAGGTGTCCTTCTGCACCATTTCTTCCCTCACACAGCTTTTCTGATGGGAGTTTTGTCATGGCTTGTGCCACTGTTGGCAAACACATTGCCCCTGGTTGTCTTTGCCAGCAGGACCCTGGGTGTTCTCTTGGCTGAAGATGCAGTGTTCCTGGGATGTGCCTGGCTTTGTGGCTGTCCAGGCTGGATGCTGTGACCATGGGGAGCTTGGGAGGAAGACACACAGCTTGCAGGGGGCTGACACTGGGTGCTGCTTGGCTGCAGCACAGGCTGAGCTTGGCCGGTAGAGCAGAGTCCCTGCAACAGATGTCTGGTGAAGAGAGATACATTCAGAGATCCTCTTGATACTTATTAGCTGCTCCCTTCTCCTGGCTCCTTTAATGTGGCAGTGAGTTGATGTGATTTGTAAATCCTCTCCTCCACCACCTATAAAAATTGAGTAATTTGTCTCTTGAGAAAAATGACATCGATTTACATTTTTATTATTGTGATATATTCAGTGGTGAATCAGAGACAGACCCTTGACAGGTTCAGCCTTTTCCGTGGTGCTGAGGCTGCGTCTGTTCTGTTGTCTGAATAATATTCAAATTAATGGAATAGCATTTTAGGTGGGAATTGACTGTGTAAGGTGCAGTCCTGGAAAAACACCGCTTGCAAAGTTTCTCTGGACCCAAGTTTTAGTTGGGTGACTGGAGAAAACTTGGCTAAGATGCCCAGGTGGAGAAGCGGAAGGACAAGGAAAGGAAATAAGCAAATAGAAGAGAGATAATCTTTTGAATGGTTTCTTACTGTAAAAGCCACTTTTTCCTGATCGTTTGGGCTGTCTGATACCTGCTGCCTTTTGCCTTTCCTTCTGTTCATTATGGCCCCTCTGTTCTCCAGACGCAGTCATTTCATAGTGGAAGCACTTTTAGCATTTAGCATTTCAGATGCGGACAACTGCTTCGTAAAGGGGAAGAACTTGTTCTTACAACTGCTTCCAATTAAAAAGCAATTAAGAGCTCATGTGCAATTAAGAGCTTCTGTGGCAATTGCTACGGAATCGAAGCCAGCACATGGAAGTGCCTCCAGCTTGCAGGCTTTGCTGGATGTGTCCCTGCACTGTGTTAGCCTTCCTGGAGGTGGTGGGGCTGGCCCTTGGGAAAGATGTTCTACTGGTCCCTTGTGTCTGTGTTGCATCCATCCTGCATCCATCCTATGTCCATTGTGCATCCATCCATCCTGCATCCATTCTGTGTCCATCCTGCATCCACCCATCCTGCATCTGTCCTGTGTCAGGGGTGCAGCTGAATGACACTCTGTCCCCATTCCCCTCTCCATGACTTCCTCTTCTCCTCCCACATTGCTCCATTTTCCCAGTCCCAAGCATAGCCTGACCTTCTCTTGGGGTTTGTCTGCACAAAAGCCTATCTCTGCAGCACTGATAGTGCAAGTGCAGTTAGTGTATGGGAGGTGCAAGTCGTGCAAAGAGTGTATTATGAGAGTGCCTCATTATGATCCTTTTTAAAGAAATTGTTGAGCCCGGTTTGGACTTTTAACCTCACGTGCTGCTGTCCCCACCACTTCTTCTTGCTCTGTCCAGCAACCAGGCGATAACTTAGCAAAGAGAAGGGAAAATCCATTTCCAAATCTTTTGAAGAATGCAGCTGGGGCCTGCAAGGCAGCTGGTGGTTCTGTCAAACACGGCCTTAAAAAAGCAGGTTTTGTGCTGGGGAAAAAAAACATGCTTGGTGTGGGCAGAGCTCTCTTTGAAGGACAAGTGCCACTGAAACAAGGTGTGAGCATCATGCTCCTCACCAGATGTGAGGTGCTGGGTTTGGGAGCTGGGGCCTGGACCTTCAGGTGGGAGCAGCCCCAGCCTTCCTGAGTGTAACTAATGGGCAATGCTTCCCCTTGCAGATAAAGGCAGAGCACGCAGCAGAGCCTCCTGCCCCCCTGCCCTGATCCTTCACACCGACAGGAGGAGCGCCTCTGTGGAGAGGGATGTCGACAAGGTCTGCTGTGCGTTCCCTTCTTCCCTTAATTCTTCCCTTAAAAACCATTGCATGATATGGAACTGCACAGATCAGAGCCGGTACAAGGGACTGCTCTGTGATCAGGAGCTTGGTTTAATTGTGCTGTGGAGCTCTGTCAGCCAGGAGCACTACAGGGCTGCCTGCAGTGGGCACCCAGCTGCCTCAGGAGCCCTGTTCCAAGGAGGAGGTGAGGATGGAGGACTAAGTCCTCCTTTGCTTTTCACATTCCTCCCATGCTGCTGTCCGTAGGTTCTGCAGGTGTTCCCCACGTCTGCAGCTGTGTTGACACTGGGGCACATCCTCAGCGCTTCGAGCAGCAAAGTATTTTCCGAAGGAAGACCTGTGGATGTGCTCTTTATTATTTTTTAATTAAGTACATTGTTGTCACTTCTTGATAATGTACTGAGCTGGATGGCTGCCTTCCTCCCATGCCTCCTCCTCACGGTTTGTTCTCATAAGTTGCACCAGTAAATAGCTGTGCTGGAGCCATTAAAACATTTGCAGGCTGTACATGTCAGCTGTGCCACTCCAGCACCTTGCTTGGTGCCTGTGTCACAGGACAGGAGTGGTGTTGCATCCACAAATGGGACTCGCCTCTGCACAGGGGTTAGTTAGCATTCTTTTGCTTTTCTTTTAAAAGTACGTGCAAACAAGCAGTGAGTGATGCTCACTGCCCCATGGGAGCCACTGGCATGGGCAAAAGCTGTATTTTCATTTGTGCTCCTGAAAATGGGGCAACAAGTTGATTATATCCGGTTTGCCCCAACTGTTTCCAGCGCACTTGGCTGTTCATAAAGCTGCTAGTGATATATAATGGCCATGTAGGTAATCCACTTCAAGATAAGGAAATGATTTGTAAGACAATAACAGTCTTATGCGTCGGCTTTGTTTGTTGACTAATCTCTGTCTCTCTTTCAAGGATCATTCTTTTAAACTAGTAAATGAGGATGACAGTACTTCAAATGGCAACAAGCCTGTGGCATCCACTCCAGTGCCAGGATCTCCATGGTAAGCAAATACAATTAGAGCTAATAAAAGTCATTCATCATTGCTCTTTCTCTCGCCAAACATGCATTAGTGGTCTCTACGTGGGGAAAATACACTACCCTGGATGTTAAGCAGCAGCGCTGTATTCCTTTTCCACTGTAGCTTTCCCTCATTTATCATATACTTAGCAAAAGTGAGAGCACGTTGTGTGACTGCCTCCTTGGGATCCACGAGGTAAGAGCAGTGTGTGCTGCCAGGAGCACAGTTCAGCCAGGAGCAGCTTCTAGCAGAACATGCCTGATGTTTTTTCTTTGTGATTGCCTGGGTTCTTCAGTGCTGGTCTTCTGCAGCACGGTGCTGTGCTCAGCCAGGCTCTTTAGGGCTCAGATCCTGCTGGAGCTCTCATGTATTGAGGATCCAGCATGGACAACTCTTGGATATATCAAAGGAGAAGTGCAAGACCTGTAAGAAATGCTCTTGCTTTTTAGGACCAGACCTTCTTCATCCCTTGCTTATTTGGTTGCAATAGTAGTTCTCTTGGTCTTGCAGGATTGGTGTTGCTTTGTATCTGAAAATCTGTAGAAGGTTGTGTCTCCTGCCATAGTTTCCTGATCACATTCCAATTCACTGACTTACGTTGGTAGCTGAAGCTCTCGTGGCTTTTAAATAGTTAGAAATCGCTTTTCATTTTTGGTCCTGGATGGCTGACAAGAAGGATTTTTCATCTACTGTACCCATATGCTGCGCAGTAATCAGTTTATTCTCATTGACTGATGTCTGTGGGATCTTTGGCCAAAGCACTCCACATTGATACCAGCCATTATTTCTTGTTACTATTCCATGCCATTTTACAGCTTGATGCTATGTGTGATGTCGTATCTAATCTTGGCATCAAAAATGGGATTTACGTTAATAATTTCTCTTTCTGGTAGTTGCTAATACAGGAAATAGTGCAGGGGAACCATTTGAGACTGGGTGGCAGTTCCACCTCTCCTTCAGCAGTGGCTGCTGGGTGGCTCACGGGCACCACTCTCAGAACCAAACCTGTGATGCTGAAATCTCTGAGGAGAAATCTTAAGTTTCTGAGCTTCCAGAGGATTATTTAATGACTCAGTGAATATTCATGTGAAAGACAAGGGACTGAAACCTCATCCTTGGGACCAGAAGGAAATGGCATAGTCCTCACGCCAAAAGTTATCCCCTATTCTGAGGTGAGACTTTCATCTATCAGTGGCACGACGAAACATGGAGCATGCCTGCTGGGTGTTAAATCAGAATTTACTTTTTCTATTGGTTGTTTTGTAGTTTAGAAGAAGATATGCAACACAGCTTCAACAAATCCTGCATTTACTTCAACCCGTAGGTTGGCTCCATGCTTCTGTGAGCCCCATGGTTGTTGTGACATCTCCAAGTGTATGCTGGGCTGTCATGCTGAAACAGGAGCAAGAGATCGGAGTGGGGAGGGAGATTGTGCCACTTAAAAGAAACCAAAAGGTGATTTTTCAGCTATTAGATGCTGCCAGCTCCTCTGAGCCTTGTAGGGCATTCAGCATTTGGTTCAAGAATTCACAGAACTGAACATTTGATCCTTCTATTCTTACCAGAAAAGCAAAATAGGAGAAAAAGAGCCATTCAGGAGCAGTTAGATCATATATTTAATGGCAGAAACAGTTCAAGAACATTACCAAGCCTTTCTACCTTATGAAAGAAAATAAATGTTTGTATAATCATCTTGTTCCCTTTCTCACTCTTAAACCACAGTTTCTATAAGGGAAAAATGAGCACAGCAATCTCTGCATTTCCAGTTTATGGTCTATGACTGAAACAAAATATCATGCGTCCCCTATGGATAATTGAAACTGTCATTGTACCATGGAGGAATAGGTGATATGTTACGTGGGAAAAGGGACATTAATTTTAAATTGGATGTCAAGTGATATTAGTCACAGAAGAGGCAAAAAAAGGGGCCACAAGGGAGCCTGGAGTTTCTCACTGGGGGAGGCTGCACAAAGACCTGGCACTTAACTACACTGCGGTTAATGGGCACCGTTGGTATCCATGCCAGTGGTCAGAGCAGCACTGAGCACAGCAGCCTATCAGCAGAGGCAAAACACAAATTTCCAACAGCACTGCTTCCAGTCTCAAGTCAGGTAATAGCTTGGGCCATCCCATGTATGTGGAGGAGCACTGCTGCTCCCCAACAGGGCGCTGGATTCGAGCTTCCCAGGGTTCACGTATGGCCGATTCTCCTCGCAGTACTAATTCTGCAGTATGTCTGCTTGTTCGTAATGCAAATTACAGTGAGGGGCATTTCAAAGCAGGCATTTGCTCCTGTATGGGATTGGGCCTGTGCCCTGACCGTACTTCTGATATTTAATAAAAGGGCAACAACAGCCTGCTTACATTAATCAGCCGAATCTGTCCTCTGCACCTAAATGCCAAGGGCTTTTTCCCTTCCCTCTGGGATGACTGTGGTATTTATGGGAGTGCAGAGCCTTGATTTGGAAATGTTCCTTTACAACTCCCTCTTGCTATTTCATGCAGAAGAGACTTGGGGCCAGTGGTACAGTTACAATTCTTGACCTGACTGTCAGTGTTTCTGGTAGAGCAGAGGTTTCTGTAGCTCTGAGACACAAAGTAGTGTATAAATACCTCATTATTGCCCTATAAATATGAGAGCTTTGAGAGGCTGCTTTTTGATCCAGCATGTTTGTGTATTAAAATAAACTGAAAGTTAATAAAATATTTGTCACCCGTGTTGCTGAATTCAAGCCTAAGCTCATGTGTGCTGTAAATACAAGTGAAGTCCTCAGCTGAGCTGGTACAGCTGGTTCTGCTCTCAGGTGTGGCATGGGTTTTTCACAGTGCTGCGTGCAGAGCTGGGGGCACGCATGGCACCGAGCTGCTCATGAGTTGTGCACAGCTGCCATCCCCTGCGGGCTGTCTTACATGAGTTCTTTGGGTTTGGTTTCGTGTATTGCCAAGGTGAGTGGTCACGTCTTACTTGTGGTAAATGGGAAATGTTGGGTCACCCACTTTTAGTGCTTTGCAGTGATGGACTGTTTTTCATATTTGTACTCTTCTACCCAGACCAGATTTTTTTTAAACCACTTCTGCTCCTTTCTCTGTGTAACAATCGAACATCAAAGCTCCTGCTAACAAGATTTGGCCTTTCCAAATGTTTGTGTATCAGAGACAGCATTTTCCCCTCATAGAATCAGTAAGGTTGGAAAAGCCCTTGAGATCCCCAAGCCCAACCCCAGCACACCCCCACCACTGCCCATGTCCCTCAGTGCCACATCTACCAGTGTGTGCACGTGTCTGAGCAAGTCACAGTGAACATATGCTGCTTATTAGTTTTCTTTGCCATTCAGAAAGTGCAGGCTCTGGGTCAATATTCTGCTACTTTACTTACTTATATATTCAGTGAGCTCTTGTGAGTGTACATCATGGTGGTACGGGACTTATTTTCTATATTACTGTAGCTGTTTCATAATGAACCTCAGTGCAAATAGTGCTGTCATGCAGAGACAACTATTTGAACTGAACAGGTCGATAAAATGACTTGCACAGTAGTGACTTGATCATGTTTTTGGACAGGATCCAGAGCCCCCAGTTTTGCTGTGTGTGTTCCTGCTGCAGCCATGTGCACTCCCCAGGGTGCCTGTGACGAAGAGGCACTTTAAAATATGAAACGTGTTTTCCTATGGTTTCTTTCAATGTGGACATCGCTGTGTTCTTCCTCCCCTTGCTCTCATCCCTACCATGATAGAGCAGCTTTTCTTGTGCTTCTGTGGGGCCTTTAGACCTTTCATGTTACATGGAGGGATCGCTCTGCCCAAGGTGACCTGCCTGGTGTAGAGGAACCTTGTGCAGGTGCCACTCTGTCTCATGCACGGTTAACAGCGAGATACAAGAATTAAGCTTGGAGTTAATTGCTTGGTCACAAGTGTATTTGGCATGATCTAAGCATAGTTTATCACTTGGACTAGGTGTGTAGTCTGGACTGGAGATGACCGGGTCTTCTTCTTCAACCCTACAATGCAGCTGTCGGTGTGGGAGAAGCCGGTGGACCTGAGGCACCGCGGCGACATTAACAGGATCCTCGAGGACCCTCCGCACAAGCGCAAGCTGGATGCTGCAGCAAGTAACTAACGCGCCGCGACTGTGCCTCTGTGCCAACACTGCGTGGGGTCTCTGTGTTCAGTGGAAATGGGATAACCACGATTCAGTGGCTTTCTTTGAGACTCGGTGTCAAGTACCCTGTTAAAATTGACGTTCATTAGACAGTATTTATTTTCTCTGGAGGGATGAGCTAGGGGATGGAGAGCGCTCATTACTGGCAGTAAAGAACCAGGTGGCTTCTTGTACTGGAGAAATCTGTGATGCATAAAATACATCTTGGAAGACAGTATGTTTTATTACTGTTATTTCCAAGATGTACATTATGAACGCATTACCAGTGCATTATTTAGCTATTGCACAGGAGCAGATACTCCAAAGTTAATGATTATTCAACCAAGTTGTAGAGGGGGGAAAACTCCCAATAGTAAATCTCTAATGGCTACTAAAAGGTTTGATGGAAACATAGATGCTTCAGTCTCAACATAGATCTACCAGTCCCCTTTTAAGTACTGTACTGTTGAAGGGGAAATATGTGGTGCTAACATACACCATGCTGGTCTGCAGTAAAACGTGCTAAGTGGTTCAAACTACAGCCTAAAGGAACAGCCTGGGCTGTTGGCAAGCTAAGAGTTGTTCCTCCATAACATGCTCAGTTTGCAGAGGAAGTTCCTTCATCCCCATGCCCCTTTGTTTTTCCATCTATTTACTCCACTCTCTGTTGCCTTGTTGCCCAGTCCAGATGTTGTTCCCACCGATGAGCAATCCAGCAATACCCAATACCTGTACTTGCCCATGTTCTGGTGGCCCCACATTTTTCCACCACGTAGTTCTCCAGTTGTTGGCTCCCTCTGCACTGTTACTGGGGCAGTTCCATTCAGTTTTAGTGCTTCCTCTATTCCCCGAAGCTTCATGTTGGCTTTCATACCTGGGCTGTGCCAGTAAGGTCTGCTGTTGTGGTAGTACATCCAACCATTGGAAGTACTGCTGGTCCTGGTCAGTGCTGGTGGACCTGTAAACCTTGTGCTTTATAGCAGGTTCACTGGAGAACCTCCTTCAGCTAACTGGTGGTGAGGTCTAGAAATAGAGAGGGGGGAAAATGAGACTTCCATCATTCCTTTAGAACATAATTACTGTAACTAAAAATCAAATAGCACTATGTGTCTTAAGAAATGACCCATCTTGTGCAGTCACACTGCTGGGAGCAATAGCATAGGCATTGATCCAGAGGCAGGGTTTCCAGTGAAATACTGTGGCACGAGTTGTGAGTGTGTGAGTGATAACAACTATTTATGTCATCATTACTAGCAGAAGGTTACTGAAGAAATACCACAGAGAGTGGTTTTCTATTCCTGTACTCCTTAAAATATAACATCATTACGTTTTTTTCAATACTAATTTAAATTGTCAGAGGCTTGAAATTTGCATCATTTTTTTTTCTGTATGATTTCAATAACTTCAGCTCTGTGTCTAGTAATTCCAATGCGTATCTGCTGAACTTCATTCTTCAAGAGAAAAGTAGAACATATGCTTTTCATTACTGGATATATTGAAGGAGTGATTAAGTGCTGATGAGAGAGTGCAGTACCAAAGACAAAAGCAAAGGTCATTGTTCATAGTCTCTAATGAATTACTGAGAAGAATCTAAAGGCACTGCTGATAGGTGCTGCTTCACTCCCATCCTTTATCATCTATATATTCCACCAGGATTTGATTCATGCACCAGTTTCTTTATGACCATGGTTTTCATTGCTGCTAATAGTCTTCGTCTTCCTTAATATAACTGGGACTCGTGGTTGCTCAGTATTTGAGGCAATCAGGTTATAATTAGTACATATTAGCTGCCAAGGTGGAAGAAATTATTTGTTACCATTTCTCTTAGCTAGTAATCTGATTAAATAAATAGCACAAATGAGCTGTGTGTTTGCAACAATGGCTGCCAAATGGATTTAGCTCAGTTGCCGCTGCTGTGTTTTAATTGGAGTTTTGAAATCAAAGTCACGAATAAGTTAACAGGCATAATTATTCACGGGGCATTATAGGTTATCTGCACATCATTCCACTGAAAGATCAAGTGCATTTGTAATTCAGGCATAAATGAAACATTGCTCACTTGCTCATGGTGCTGCCTCCACGCGGTGCTGATTTTGGCAGAGCTGTGAGGCAGACCCACCCTTGGTCCCAGCATCCCCCAGCCCATCCCAGCGGCTCAGTACGGTCTGAGCCCTCCAGCCATCCACTCCATCACAATTACCAACATTTCCACCCATGTATTGCAAATGACCAAATGCAGAGGAAGCCCAGAAGAGAGAGTGGCAGGGAGCAGTCGGTGCCAGTTCTTTAAAGGAAGATCCAGCTCTCCAAACCCAGGGGTGAGATTTGGAACCTGGGCCCCCGAGTGGGGTATTCATCATCAATCCTGAGGGCGGGTGCGGGCAAGGCAAGGCGGGGGAGTAGATAGGAAAGCAGAAAAAAGACTGAAGTTGAAAATGGGCATTTTCTTGGCAATTTTTTGCAAATTGATTGCCTGGGTATGCCGGTCAGGAGGTCTTGCTTATTTCAGACGGGGAAAAGAAAATTGGCATTTTAATTACAGAAATTTGCATGTTGATTCATACTCAGTCTGATAGCTATTCACAATTAGGGATGAGTTGGTCTACTCTTTTCCCACAGAAGCTGTTTAACAATTCATTGTAGCGTTCAGACAAAACTAGGCAGCCTGCTTCTTATATAGAACCATAGAATGGCCTGGGTTGCAAAGGAGCACAGTGCTCATCCAGTTCCAACCCCCTGCTGTGTGCAGGTCACCAACCAGCAGCCCAGGCTGCCCAGAGCCACATCCAGCCTGGCCTTGAATGCCTGCAGGGATGGGGCATCCACAGCCTCCTTGGGCAACCTGTGCCAGTGCCTCACCACCCTCTGGCTGAAAAACTTCCTCTTAATAGCTATCAGCATTGCTCAGCTCCCTCTTACATGTGATCTGTACATGCTGGGGCTCTGCTGAACCACAGATCAGATTTCTGTGTGTTGCCAATGGATTGGCAGCGCTTTGACGCACCTGCCAAATAGTGATGTTTTCTTTTCGTTCTGGAAAGTGAACCAAAATTCATTACATGGCTGGGATTAGTCGAATGATTTAATTAATCGGCACTAAGCCTGATAGGCCATCAGACTGTGGTGGTGCTCCGCTTTGTGATTTCATGGAGAGATTACTGTCAAGTAATATTCTTCCTCAGTGCTTTAAGTTAATTACTTGAGGTTGTGCTCGGCTGCCTCTCTCCCTCTCTGAGGTTGCAGCTGGCCTTAGCAGCGCGCTGTGAGTGAGGGTACAGACACAGTTTGTCATCTTTCACTGCTTTCCATTGCGCTGAGGTGTTCAGTGATGCTGCTGACTCTGTTCTTGTTCCATTTATTGGAGGCAGTCAGTGGTGCAAGAGGAGCAGGGAGGGTTTGGTGTCCCCGCTGTATGTGGGCTCTCACTGTTTGCTGGGAGAACTTGAGGTAGGTCAGGAATAGGCAGATAGGAATGTGGGCAGATTGTACCAAGTCCCTTTTATCTGAAAGTTATGTGGTCATTGAAAGTTGGGTTTTATAGATGTAAGAGCATCTCAGCTGTTTCACAAAAAGGAATGATACAGCCTGCTTTTCAGAGAGCTATGGTAGATCTTTTCTCAAGATGGCTACACATGGAGTTCAGCCTCAGTAGTCTTGTGGGCTTCATGGGATCATTTTTCATCATCAGTTTTTCTCTTGTGCTGTGGAAACCATGGCTTGGTAGGATAAGAGCTGTGGTTGGTGCGGAACCGAGCGCCTTCTGCATCTTCCATCATCTCTGGGAGCCACACCAAGTGCTCTCTTCTTTTGTGTCACTGCCTTCTGAATTCATTAAAGCTGAGATCTCTTCAGCTTCTATAGCTTTATGGTATTGCTATTGAACTACATTCCTCCATCCAAGTCTGTGGATTGCTTTTCTTATTCCTTTTTGCTTTGAATTGGATGTCTTGAAGAATTCAGCAAGAAAAGGTAACAGTTTCATGGAATTTGAATATATTTAAAATATGATTAAATTGATATACGTATTCTTAATGCTTCCATCTAGTGAGGAGTGCTGAGATTAAGCTCTCATTTTAGAAAACCATTCACTTTGTGTTATTCTCATAGCTACTAAATATCAAAAGCATTTGTTGCTTGCTGTGTATCTGCTCCTGATGTTCTGCCTCCAGTCCTCGTAGGCTGCAGCGTTACAGCATCTGTCTCATTCTTCCTTCTGCAGTGATGTAACGCGTGCTGTGTGCAATTGAGATAAATAGTAACGTTTGCTGAAAGCCCTGATACACTAATATACCACTAATTTCCCTCCAGCAGGGAAAGAGAGTGAAGAACAAGATTCTTACACTGAAGCTTGAAATGTCCCTATTTCTATTAGCTTCAGTGATATAAAGATTGGACTTGGACAAAAAGAGGAACTTGTAATTAGCTGATAAGTTTCAAGTACTCTGTGCAGAGAGGAGAGCAGTAAGTAGCTGAGTTGGAGCAAAGAGAGAGGAATGAAATGTTTCTTTGTGGAATTGTCTGCCCATTTATCTAATTCAAACCTAACTGCTCTATTTGTTTCTTTTTAGCAGATAAAAATGTTAGCTCTTGTTCAGGAGATGAAAACGATGATCTTAGCATCAAAATTAAGAGAAATAAGTAAGTCCTAGTGTTTATTTACCTATATTTAATGTTGGGAATCTAAACTATGGTGCTGATTAGTGCAAAGAAAATAGAAGATAACAGTATTCTCTTTTATGTTGAATGGTTGCTCCTCAGTAGAGTTTCTATGGATTTATATTATTATGTAGAAAAAATCAGATCCTTTGAGTTCAAGGCTCAAAGTATCTAAGGACTTAACACGTAATATTGAAAGTATATATTAATACTAAATATGTAGTAAGTATGTACTCTTAGTATCTATTTTGTATTTGTAAGCTTAATGTAAAATCGATGTTCAGTATAAAAGTATACTTAAGCTCCAACCCCCTGCTACAGGCAGGGCCACCAACCTCCACATTTCATGCCAGCCCAGGCTGCCCAGAGCCCCATCCAATGGCCTTGAACACCTCCAGGGATGGACGGGGCATCACAGCCTCTCTGGGCAGCTGTTCCAGCACCTCACCACTCTCATAGCAAAGAGCTTCCCCCCGACACCCAACCTCAATCTTCCCTCCCTCAACTTAAAGCCATTTTCCCTTGTCCTGCAGTTATCTCCCCTTTCAAAGAGTTGACTCCCCTCCTGTTTTTAGGCTCCCTTTAGGTACTGAAAGGCTGCAATGAGGTCACCCTACAGCCTTCTCTTCTCCAAGCTGAACAAGCTCGGCTTCCTCCCACAGCCTGTCTTTGTAGGGCTTTTTCCATTCTGTTCTATGTTGCCAGAATTTGTTTTCTTATTTTTCATTTCCATCAGGATATCCCCCTCCAGAAAATTATGTCACATGGGTCCAGCTGGGCAATGTCAGTCCAGCACAGTGCCCAAAAGGGCACAGCCTGCGGACCAACACTGTGATCCTGCACAGTGTCTGATGTATGGCATGATCATCATTTAGCAAGTGTTGGATGCTGGGAACTCTGTCATTAGTCCTGTCTTCATTTAACTTTTAGAATAAATCCCTAGACTAGGAGGAACAAGTTCACATTTGTTGTACTTGGGCAATTAGTCCCATGAAAGTCAAGGGCATTAGTCATAAAACAAACAAGCAGGATTTGGCTTGACAGCACAGCAGACTCTAAGACTTCGTCGTGATGATCCCAATTCCTCAGAAGTTTGACCTGTCACCGAAGAGCCCTGGAGTGTTTATTTTTCTGTCAGCAGAGCGTATATCCCCCAACCACCCCATGATTTCTGCAGCTGCTTTGAATTTTAAATTCTCTTTTATAACATGTAAAGATTTCCTGACATCTTGCTTTGTGCCCTGAAACAATGGCAGAATGCAGAGGTTTGTGGATGGAGCTTTAGATACTGACCTTTTGCTAAAGAAGCACGGCCTCAATGCTCGTTTCAGTGTATGAATATTAAGCTGCAGCTAATAGTCCTTGACATGTAAAATACTTGAGGGTTTTCATTTCAGACTAGAATGTAGTTATCCTGTTATCTTTTTCAATTGTGGGACTGAGACATCCCACAGCAGAGGGTGGGATAGCACCAGTAACCCATGCCTGAAGTATTCCCATTGCAGCTGTAGTTCTGTGCTCCCACGCTGCCTCCCTGCTTCCATGTGCATTTCCATGTTGATGCTGAACAGCCTGAAAAATGTTTATGTACAGGCACGTTATTCACTTCTCTTTGCAATATTAGTGGTTTGATTTTTTTGATTAAATATGACTAAAATGGGGTGATGTGCTTTCATGTTTTGTTTCAGAACACGCAGCAATTCCTATGCTGTTTTAATTATGCTCCCTCTCTGGAAGTTGTTGCCTTGGTATATGATAGGATGCTCTGACACACAATAAATCATCTGCTCTAGAGAGAGCCCCGTGCTGATGATAAGAAGCGATTGCATCAAAGTTCCAGCACAGTGCATCATAATTCAGCCAGAGGGGTCATCACACAGCTGTGTGGTAGAGCCTTCTGACTCTGTTACTTCTGTCAGTTGTCATTTCTGGTGTTCGCACTGATGTCTGTCTTCACGTTGATGTATTACACATACATCAGTAAGAACAGAACTGCTTCCACAGCCAGTGGGGGATCCAGCCCAAAGCTGGCTGCGGATCAGAGCGAGATCCTTCTGCTCTCATGGATTTTGCACAAGCCTGGTGCCAGCTCTGAGCATCTGATGAGCTGTGGGTGTCCCTGCTCACTGCACCAGGTAGCCTTTAGAGGACCTTTCCAACCTGAACAGCTCTATGATTCTGCAGTTATCTGCTGAAGAAAATTATATTGTTTATTGTAATCTCTGGCGTGAGACAAAAGCAAGTCAGGGTAATGTTCAGCATCGCTTTCAATTTCCTGAGAGAGACTGAAGGATAGAAAGGCTCTTGTGATCTGAGCTGATTGAGCAGTGTGCTGTATTTCTGCAGTTTCAGCTGGAAGAAGCTCTCTGCTCATCGTAGAAATTGGATTGGGCCTTTCATGGATCATGTTACAGGAAAACATTTGCTGTTGCAATACAAAATTCACTGTCATTCTGCAAAGGAAAACAATCTGATATCTTTGAAATCGCTAGTAATATAACATCATTTTAGGGTAAATGTAAGTGTAATGTGATTATTTGTAGAGGGAAGATAGTGTCCTAGAACTCGTGTTACATACCGATGTAATCCATTTGCTTGGAAATAAGAAAGAGTTTTCACATAGAAATTCCAAACCTAAGTATTGAACAAAACTGTATAGTAAATTGCATCATTAGCAAATGCAGTCATGCCTAATAGGAAGCTAAAAATCAAAGCAGTTCACTACCATCATCCATGCATGTACATTGTGATCGTTCCCAGATTCTTGGTCTCCCCGGAAAGCACCTTCATGTTTTATTGTGTCCACTCTGCTGAAGACATTGAGAAGGAGTAGGAAGGACCCAGAGCAGGAGTCTGAGTTCTGGCTTGAAACTAAAAGAAGGAAGATTTAGCTTAGATGGCAGGGAGGATTTCTTTCCCTAGAGGAACTGAAGTGCTGGCACTGCCTGGAGCTGTGCTGCCCCAGCTCTGGAGATGCCCCAGGCCATGGCTGGGTCCTGGGAGCCTGAGCTGGAGAGCACCCAGCTGGTGGCAGGGGTGGGACTTCGGGGGTTTTGATGTCCCTGCCAACCCAAGCATGCACCCCATGACTCTGTGATTCTATGAGCTCTTCACTGAGGATGCTCAAGGCATGCCATGACACATGAGGGACCTCCAAAAACAACATTTGCCAGAGTAGGGTGAGAATGCAGTGTTAATGGTCTCTAGCTCTGATAAAATTATGTAAGCAGTGATCTGGTGGAAAAAAACTTTGGTTCCAGTGACTGCACCAATGATGTAGGATTACAGCTGAGGAGAGCATCACCCTCACACTGCAGCAGCAGGGCCAGTGGTGCTCTAGCACATTTGTACATGGGATGGATTGCCAGGCTGTGAATATGGTTAAAAGTGCCCTCCCAAGGCTACAACTGCTGAACTGTTCTCTGTCTTGCCTTGTTAAAGAACAGAAGATTGCCAGGTCGTTGACCAGGGGAAGGCAGGCACAGAGGAGAGGAATGGGAAACCAGCAGCAGCGGAGGTCACACCGCCCCTCGAGGAGCGCATCACTCATTTCCGAGATATGCTTCTGGAGAGAGGGGTAAGGAATACATCCTTGGGTCAGCATACCTCCTTGGTGAGGGGAGAGCATTACGTCTGGCCAGTGCAGGAATCGTGGTGTGATTATGGCTTGGCATTCAAAGGAGGAATTATGGAGAGGGTGCTTTCTATTCACTGGGTAGCTTCTGTGTTTCTTTACTTTGGCTTCTCCCCAGTGCCATCCAGTGAAGTGTGGCCATTCAGAACAGAAAGCCCTTTGCTGGTGCAAAAGTAAGTCCTTATGTGTGCACCCAAAGGTGACTGCTCCTTCCGCTGGGACCCGTGGCTCAGCACTGTGCTGAGCAATGTGCTGGGAGCCCTGGCAGCCCTGCACAACCCCAGGGCTGTGTTGTGTGATGGACAAAGGATGGAAGATAGGTTGAGTGTCACCTGGCAGGCAGCACAAGGATCATGTCCAGCCTGCTAGGACATTAATGGGCATTTTGGAGGCTCGGAAGAGAAAACCTGTTTGTGTCTCTGGCCTTCCATGGCTGTCCTTGGACCTGCTGGGAAGACCGTGTGGTCCCAGGACCATTTCCCTTGGCCATTTCTCTTACTATTTTCCCAGGGTCTGAACAAGGTTATGAGCAGCTAGATGGAGCATAAACTCAATTTACAGATAGAGTCCATCAGCACTGTAAGCCTCATGACCAAAAGAGAAATACGAGTCACAGATCACAGTAACAGCATCCTGTTACCGGTTTTGTAAAGAGCTTCAGCCTGACTTTTATTTTCTGCCATAGCACTCATAAACCTGAGTCCAACTGCCCCTCTAAAGGTTACCATCAGCAATACAGCTGCTTTTAAATATAAAATCGCCAGTGCAAAATTTTTGTCTCCCAGTGCCCCTTCATTTTCAAGGAAGCAGGAACGGATTTAATAAAGGTAGTACGCTTCAGCCCTATGCCTGCAAATGGAAATGTGTGTGTAGTGCAGTTGTGCGTGCAGATTCTATAACTTCATCCAACGCTCTTCAAATACACATTGCATAGAAGCTTATGTAACTTCTGCGAAGAAAAAAGAATCACAAGTGTGTGCTGTTAGCCAGTAAAGCTGTAGAAGTTATCACTGTTAGTCAGCAGACTTCACAGGTTCAGAAGTTCAACAGTAAATTACCTCCACACCATTCACACTTTTATTCATGCATTTTGTTATTTATGCTTAAAAACCACAGAAATGCCATAAGGGAATACAGCTTGAAGGCTCCCGCTGACATACTTTAAGTCAGGGGACCATAAGTCAAAATTTAGAGGTATTGGGATTATTTGGTAACAGGATTCAATCGTTTCCAGATTAAGACTCTGCCTTGCTCATCAAAATAAGAACTGCAGTGAATTTGCTGTTTATTTTTGCTATTATTTACAAATATGTACGTAATAGGATTCTTTGCTTTTACCCAGAGTCTTTCGGGGTGGTCTGACAAGGCGCTGGGTGGGATCAGCTGGCATCTCCCGCAGTGACTGAGGCCACTCTTCTTTGAGCCTGGTTGCTGGAATGGCTGCCTGCTGCCATTTCCTTGTCATGTTGGTTTTTCTCGAGAAGGCTCTTGGCAGCATTACAAAGAGCTTGAACTAGATGGAGTTTTTCAGCGTTGTTATGAATCCTCACACTTAAAATGTTTCAGTAAAAGAATATTGCTTGTAAAATTAAAAATAAGATGTGATTTTGGCGCAGCGCTGATGCGAGGTGGCAGCGCTATTCCCAAGTCTATGGCAAGTTTTCCCATGTAAAAATGCAATCTCTGATGCAGTCCTTGTGGAAGTTCTGCAGTTTCCACAAAGTCCTGAGGACAAATTGCAGCCTCTGCAGACAGCCATGGGGTTCACGTGTCCAAGTTAAATAACCTTGCTGGGTTGGATGTGGCTCTGGGCAGCCTGGTCATCCTTTTCAACTCAGGCCATTCTATGATCTTCCCCTTTCTGGGGAAGACTTCTGTTTTCTAGGATGTCCGTGCAATAAAACTGTAAAAGGATATGAATTCAAAATGCTATTGCCACCCAGATTTTGTTTCCTTAATATGAGTAAGCATAAAAGTGAGGGCCTTTAACCTCTGCCATCTTGCATCAAAGTAATTCTCAATCTCAGCACATGGCACAGAACAACAGGAAAACAGACTGGATTGTTTCATTGTTGTTTCTCTGCAGCCTATTTTTCTTCCCATTTTTCAGACAACCCAGACTGCAACTGGAAGGACCATTAACCCCTTCCAATGTGAGTTGGGGTGGGGGCTGGCAGGCAGGGCTGTGCCACTTGGTGTGTGTCTGCTGTGAGCATCACTCTGCTTGGGTCAGCGTCTGCCTCAGGCTGGGAAGCCTTTGTTGATGAAGATAAATGCACCTGCTGGAAATAGCAAGCACTTCACTTTTCTCTTCTTATCAATCTTTTCATCAAAGCCAAATTCTCAATGTGCTACCGTAGCTGGGCTTCCAAAGAGAAGGAAAAAATAAAACCAGCTATTCAGATAGGTATCCTTTCACTTCTAGATATACTTCTCCAACTCAGTACATGGCATTTTCATGAGATTTTTCACTGCACTCTGAACTCAGATTAAAAAGCAGGAGATCTGAACTGGGAAACAGAGGGAAGCTCAGTTCTCCATTGCTCTCTTTCTGGGCTGGTATTGGGCTTCAGAGGTCCTTCTGTAATCTGGGAAGAACCCCCCCCCACGTCATGATGTGTTCCTGGATGAGGGAGGACAATGCAGCACTTGTGGAGAGATGGGTCAGAATGTGAACATATGTCTGCAGAGCTCCAAAATGAAGTGTGCGTACCTACAAGTAAATTGCAAACGTCTGCAACCAGCAGTTCTTTCAGGTGTGTGCCTGCAGTCTGTGAAAGCCAACGGATACTGAAGGAACAGCCATAAAAGCAACGATTAAATTACACATTTGCCTGAGTTTAACCAGCGCTGATTTTAAACTAGTTAAACTGAGTTTAACTAGGTTGATTTGGCCCTTGTACTGGGAGCAGAGGGGAATGTCCAGCAGCAACATTCCTGAAAGGAATTGCTCCCTCTGACCTCTGTAAAGCAGCAGAAAATGCTTGCCTCAAGCTGCAGCTGTGGGCATGGGGGCTGCGTCACAAGAAGATGACATTTGGAGCAGGCTTTGCCAGACCTGCAGTGCGTGGGTAGGGTCTGGTTTCAGCCTAACTCAACCTCACAACTTAAGGAAGAACACCTGTGCCACTGGTGGTTTTTCAGCACATGGTAGCTGCGTAATGTCCTCGCCCTAATTAAAATGGAATGTGGGGTGCACATTGCTACTCTCCTTTATTTGCCCTGCAGATACCGGCTGCAATGATGCACCACCTGCACAAATCTTCCTGGCTGAGGTCTGTAGCTCCCCCTCTCTGGCCCCAGGCGCTTGTTCCCATGGCAGCTTCCAGTAGACCTTCTCCAAGCAGTGCTGTGCCCCTTGCCTCAGCAGCCAGCCCCAACCCCAGCCCCAGCCCATCTCCCACCCCAGCACCAGCGCTTGCTGCTCCACTTCAACCTACTTGGCATCACGAAAGCCTTCGTGTCTGATTGTTAATTAGACTACTTTAATTATACTCCATATACTTAATTCTTTTTTCTTCGTAAATTTACTCCTCTTTGCAATTAGATGGAGTGATTGGAGTATTTTATCTTATGAAGGAGTTTTCTGTAGCAAACTAATTAACAGTGATTTTGTCTGAGATACCAGGATCAGGCTGGGGATCTCTGCCTCACACTTTTTAGGGAACATCATTCCATAAAATTACCAGGGCTGATGAGTGCCATGGCCCTGCTCAGTTTGGGGTGGTCCTTACAGCTCACCACCTTGAGGGGCTTCCTCAGAACATGGAAGAACTTCTGTGAGTGTGGCGTTGTCATTTTGCATTGCAGAAGGTCTATAAATGGTGCAGTGATCTTGGGTGCACATCCAGGGTACCACTGCTGAGGGCTGAATTCAGTAGAAAGAGGTGGAAGCCTCAGAATGCAGATGGTGACACCTACCCCCTTGGATGAAAGTGGTAAATTTGATAAGATAATGTGATATTTTGATGTATATCACTGTTAGCTCTTCAGTACGTGTGTGCATTGACAGCTTCATTTGGGTGAGTAGTTAAATTTTGCAAGAGAGGGGAGCTAAAGCTGATGTACCTAATTAAATGGAAATTGATACTTGTGTCTTAAAAAGCGGGTAATGAAATGGGCATTTCCCTTTCTGCTGCAGATTCTTTCCATCAAAAAAAGTAGAATTAGTGTCTTCCAGATACTCACTGAGATGTCCTAGGGCAAATCAATACTAATGGCATGGGTGCAACCAGATCATTGCCAGAAACAGATTGAAATGCAACTTCTAACTGCTCTGAGGCATCTTGAGAGGGTTCATTAACTTTCTGAACTACACTTTCGTCTCACCTTGGAACATTTCCTTGTTTTCAATCCTTACTAAAATTCTTTATTGCAACTGTGTTTGTATACTTCACAGGTTTCAGCGTTTTCCACATGGGAAAAAGAGTTACACAAAATAGTGTTTGACCCACGATACCTTCTGCTAAATTCGGAGGAACGTAAGCAGGTGAGCATTATCCTGGTGTAGCTTCTGGATGGTGGCAAACATTTCCCAAATTAACTGTAAGAAACAAGTAATTGTCTTGGTAGGATAAAAGGAGCTGCATACAACTGACATTTCTTCTTGGAGTTGTGGCTTTTGACACAGGCTGTGCTCCCAGAGAGGTGTTGCCACCCTTTGGAAAGCAAATGGCAACAAGTCAGTCAGCCCATAGAGAAGAGCTGCAGCCTCTTAGGTTGTAGGAACGAGTTCCACTGGTGTCTGGGGCTCTGCTCTAGGAAGTCTGATGGCCACAAGCTAATGTTTGCTCTCTGATTCCTGCTGCATATTGTGGGGAGGGCGCTTTCTTTTTATTACTTAGGAAAATTTTCTATGAATTTGGCACTATCTATAGGTATATTTTGCAGTAACTAAGTAGATGGGGCACATTGGCTGTGCTTGTACCTATTTGAATGGGCAAGCAACAGGGGGAAGCAGAGATTATTCTGCCCTGTTTACTTGGGCATTAGCTATCAGAAAGGAACTAAAAGGACTCCAGGGCTGTAGATTAGACTAAAAAAATTAGGAGAGATGCAGGGATGTGGCAGGGAAGGGGAACTCTTTTACACTATGGTCATTCATTTTCTTCACCAGTTCTTTGTCATCCTGGAAAAGAAAGAATTTTAAATGTGGAATGATCTGTTTTTGAAATAACATGATGAATAATGTTCTTCTTATGTCTTTTCCATTGCACTGGGGCTCCTATTGTCTTGTGGTTTCTCCAGAGAGCCTGCTGCAGTTATTTGCTGAGGGCCTGGGCACATACATCTTCATTTACTGCCTTTCCAATATTTTCTTTCCTAAAAAAAAAAAAAGTGAAATAAAATAATAATGAAATACGGGAATGAAAATGTGAACAAAACCGCTAGAGTGGAAAATACTGCTAAAGAAGAGGCTAAGCAAAGAGCCTTCATCTTATTTCAGGGAATCAGCAAGGACAAAACCTAGACCTCGATCAGTCGATCGAGATACATTCTTCTTCTACTTTATCAGCCACAGAGATGATGTAATAAAAACACATGATGAATGCACATTATGTGATATGGAGCTTTGCTTGAAGCACCATGGACTCGTCTGCAAGGTGCAGTCAGTGCTGGCAGAGGGGCTGAGTGCTGGTGCTGGCAGTGAGCAAGCTGGGCTGCCAGCTGTGGAGGAAGAGGATAAGCATTGAGTGTGCTTCGACTAGCCACGGCCCAGGAGAATTCAGCTCAGGAGGATGTGCCATGTATTTAATCTATTTTCGCTACTAAACTTGAAGTTAAGAGTTCTAGACGTTCCCCGTGAGTGCTTCCCTTTAATTAGACCTCTTTTTCCTCTGGGAAGTGGTTGAAGAAGAAAGGTAGGCTTGGGCAAGGCTAGATGTCTGATTTAATGAAATACTTACTGAAGTACAGCCTAAATCAGTAGAAGACATCATTTAGATACATGGAAACGTTTATAGTGCAGATGCTGCCTGTGGCCCACATAGCGAGCGTCTTGAGTGCTTTGTAAGTTACAGCAATGAATTAATATCGGAGGTGCTTAGGGATGAAAGCTGGCTCAGAGAAGGGTGAGGAGTGAGTAGTGAGCGTGTGCCAGAGCACAGCTGGCCCAGCCCAGCCCTCTGTTGCCTGCCATCAGCAGGGCAGGGGCAGCAAGATGCAGGGGCAGAGCAGGGCTTGGGGGGGGTTTCCTCCTGCCATTGGCTGCCGTGCCCTTGCACAGCCTGAGGAGCATAATGATCTGCTATTGAGTATTTGTTAAGCACTGGAAGAGGCAGCCCAGGGAGGTGGCTGAGTCACCGTCCCTGGATGTGTTTAAAAACCATTCGGATGTGGTGCTCAGGGCCATGATTTAGAGGAAGGTTGTTAGAGTTAGGGTAGGATGGTTAGGTTGTGGTTGGACTTGATGGGCTTTAAGGTCTTTTCCAACCTGAGCAATTCTATGATTCTGTGATTTACAATAGATTGATCCACTCGCTGACTGATACTCTCTGAAGGGTTACAAGCATTGAAGGATGCTGCTGTGTTTAAGTATGGGGACAGTGAAGGGTAAAGAGGCAACTCTATTAGGTAATGAGCTAGCACTTAGCTTTGATTTATTACCATTGTAATATCTTTGCTGATAATGGAAAGGCAAGCAGTAACAGTTCTCATGTTTTCTTTATTTCCTTTTCCTGCCTTCTCTCATATTCAGATAATGCAGTTGGATACGATACTATATATTTAGATTTCCTGTGTTGTCACTTCTTGCATGGCCATTGTTGATGTTTATTTTCAGGTGCCATTTCTTCCCCTTGCAACATACCATACCAAATGTGTTTTGCAGTTCAGATGCTTAGGCTGGCCTGAAATGTAGATTTGCACCTGTGCATCCCCCCGGCTGATGAGAAAGCAACCTGGTAGTAACCACAGTAATCATCTGTGATGTGTATAATCTGTGGTGGAAAGAAATGGATGGTGACTACGGAAAGCCAATAGCATTCTGCAGAGCAGCTCAGTGTGCAACATTCTGTAGAGCACAAGGCCAGCAGGATTGGAGTTTTGGTACTTAAAGATGTGATTAAAGGAGGTGGCTGAGATTTTAGACATGGAGCCTTTCCAAGATGCCCATAATCCACTGCTGAGCGCCGCGATGCGTGTTTAGCTGCCAGATGCTGTTGGAGGAAGGTTGTTCGATCTTTCAATAATGTTCAAAATTTGGGTCCATGTGTGCAGAGAGCCATGGGTAAACTCATGGCTTTTGGCAGCTGAACTGAAAGGTCTTTGGGCTTTTTTTGGGGGTAACCTGCAAAATATCGATGGTTAGCAGATAGACATTTTCAGGAATGAGAGCAAGCTGGGAAAGATGTGAGGTCTAAACTAAGTACGTGCAAAGTACAGATACAAGGTGGAAACAAAAAATAATGCTATAGGAAGAAAAATGTGAGCATGACACTGAAGTAAGGAAGCCTAGATTTGTGTTTTACTGAACGATTGAGTGAAGTATTATCTGTGCAATGATTGCCTTTCTCCAGTTGTGTGTTTCCTGACCACATGTGCTCAGCGTTCCTTGAAACAGATTCAGCTGCATTTCAGTCAGCAGATACTGGGGGCAGATAGGAGCTGTGGTTCTTGGGATCGACAGCCCTTCAGTGAAGCATGAATGCCACAAAGCCTTTATTAGTAAATACTACATCATTTTTCCTTATTTTGAAAGATATTTGAACAGTTTGTCAAGACCAGGATAAGAGAAGAGTACAAAGAAAAGAAGAACAAATTGTTGTTAGCCAAAGAAGAATTTAAAAAGCTCCTCGAAGAATCCAAGCTATCACCAAGGTATGGCATTGCTGTATGAAGATTTGTTAAGATAAAATTTCTAATTTAGTCTGTGCTTATCAGTCCTGGAACGCTGTAGAACAGAATGCACTCTTCATGGCAAGGTTTTACATCTATTGTTACAGTACTGTGCTGACAAATCTTTACTAACATTTTGTAGCACTTAGTCTATTTCACTGCGAATATTACTGAGAATGAGAACATACTTTTCCTCTCTGTTCCTTTTCTTTTTTCTCTCTTTCACTTTGAGTGTGTAATATTTTGCATAACATGCGTATTTTATGTGCATATATATGGTAGAATTATGTGGCACAGGTGTTCTCCCTCCTGATGATACGCTCCTTCCAAATATTGGAATGCCACAATGAGGTCTCCCTGGAGCCTTCTCTTCTCCAAGCTAAACAATCTCATTTCTCTCAACCGTTCTTCATAGGAGAGGTGCTCCAGCCCTCTGATCATCTTACTGGTCCTCCTCTGGACCTGCACCAAGCGCTCCATGGAAACTCACCTTGGCCGTAACCCCTAGCTTGATTTTGATGTGTGGTAAAGATAAGCAGGCAGGTCTGTTCCCACAAGGCTGTTATGAGTCTGCACAGTGCTTAAAGCCAACAAGAAATACTGCAGCATTCATACGATACATCCGTCATTAACCATAGCGCTGTGAACACAAAATTGAGATAGAAACCATTGCTAGAACAATGCACCTGTGAGATTTTAAAGCCCAGGGGTTGAAGCGTAAGCAGGGAGCTGGTGGGTTGTAGGCTGGGCTACCAGCAGCACTTGTGCTCTCGGTGCAGGGTCTGTGCTCAGCACCTGGGTTTGGCCATGGCATCCTGCTGCTTCCAGCTGACGCGTGGCCATGCCTCTCCTACAAGCCACATCTGCAAGTCTGCAGCTTTCAAATCTCTGTCTTTTCTGCAGAACGACATTCAAAGAGTTTGCAGAGAAATATGGCAGGGATCAGAGGTTCCGCCTGGTTCAGAAGAAGAAGGACCAAGAGCATTTTTTCAATCAGTTCATACTTATCCTTAAAAAGAGAGACAAAGAAAACAGGATAAGGCTACGGAAAATGAGATAAAAGTGCTTGGAGCTGGCAATGAGCACAGAAGCTAAAGCAGGGACTGCAGGAAGGACCCCAAGTGAAGGTGAAAGCAAAGGCTGACCTCGCAGCAGCGGAAGGACGGAGTGCATATCCCTGAGAAAAACTTTCTCTGAATGGTGTTTGTTGAACACACGGAGCATTTGTGAAGGTTGTTCTGCAGGAATCTGAAGGATATTTGTTCCCAAGGAATTAATGTTTCATATTGAAGCTCTCTTTTGTACAACATCCAGAGTTTGATGCATTTCTAATCGCCGTGATATGTCAATCCCTTAATTGTTTTAATTATGCAAATTACTTGTAATACACACAAATTATGAATCCGGTGCAGATTTGTAATTAAGCAGAAACAGATGCCATCCATAACAATCTCAAGATATTTTGATCATTTCGCAATCTTTTGGCAACTTTCTGCATTAGCACAAACTGTTCGGAGGTGCAGCGGGATGCAGGGATCCATTGCCGCGTTCACATGTCTGTGTCCAGTTCTCTGAGTAGTACTATTAAATATTAATCGTTAATCTTAGTGAAGAGTGTGAAAACCCTGGCCAGTGTTCCATAGGAAACTCTCCTTTCCAGAAATAGCTTTCCTGATCCCATGGGTGGTGCTTCGGGCTGATAGCAGCACTGCTCTGTCGGAGTTCCGTAAAGGCGTTCTTTTGTACAACCATCGCGGTCTGAGTTACGTTCCTGTATGTGGAAAGTCTGCATGAGATTTTTCTCATCATCTTTGTATAAATTAAATATTTTACTTTTTTAATTAATAAATATTTTAAGCCGATTTTGGGGGTTTTTTTTGTTTCTTTGTTTTTGTTTTTTTTAAGTTTCTACATTTTTGGAAATGCCCGATGAAGCAGCGCTGGTCTCACAGTTCTGACTGGAGAGGTACAACACTGATTGCTCCTGGGGCTCCTGCTTCACATGCACATTTCCACTGAAGCCAGCTGCACTCATGAGCAGACTGAGAGCACATGGCGTGTGACACTGAGGATACCAGCAACAAACAACAAAACTGCTTGAGGTTTCAAATGGCAGACTGGCTTGCTGGGAGTGTGGTATTGATCTCTGTGGCAAGCCTCATCATTGGTACCTGCAAAAGGAGAGCAGCTGTGGCAGCAGGGGACAACTGCCTGCAGCTGCTGCTCGGGGCCCAGGTTGCTGTGGGTGGGGAGGCAGAAGGGCCCTGATCAGTGTCACAGAGCAAACCTGTGGCAGCAACAAGGGGCTGGGCTAAAAATGGGTTTGAAAACATATCAGCAGAAACAGGCTCAGCTGCTTGCAGGAGGAAGATGCTAGTGCTGATAGAACTGCTTAAAGGCTGGGTTTCTTGGACCAGAAGAGCCCTTATCAAAATGAAAAGATTCCTATGGTATTGCATACATTCAGAACCTCTGTATTTCAGGAAGCAGATCCTGGTCTGCTCTGTTGAAAGAGTCCCAGAAAATAAACTTGAGCTCTTTGGGTGGGGAAAAAAAGAAAAGCAAAAAAAAAAAAAGCAGGAAGTTGTTCCTCCAGCCCATCAACCCATTCCTCCTCGTTCTGCAGCAGCCTCAGCCATAACCACTGAGTGGTTCTGGGTCTGTGCTGCAGCCCTGAGGGCTCAGAGCCTGGACACTGCATGTCCCTTGTCCACGTTTTGCAGCAGGAAAGGCTTCCAGTGAGAGCCCTGCTTTGAGTCTGTGATGTCAGAGCCCATGTGGGTGTGGAAAGCTATGGTTTCTCTTCTCAGCTTAAAACTTTATATATTGAAATACTCCACAAGTTTGGTGAGTGCTGCCTGCTGTTGGTGCAGGACAGCCTGCAGGCAGTGCTACACCTGGCAGTGGCTCTGCTGCCTTCCAGGCATCTCCCCTTGCTCTGCATCACCCTTGGTGTTCTCCGTGGTGGTTCAGGCTCCTTTTTCTCAGGTAAGTCTCTTTATATAGAGCTATATATATTCTTTTCCTGGATACGTCATCTCATTCTTCAGACTTCAAAGAAAAGAAAGTTGTGAAGCACTGATTGGTTTTTGGATCAACCAGGAGTGCAGAGAGGTTTGGGTGGGTTTTACTTTTGTTTCTTGTCTATTTATTTTTATTTTTTTTTCCTGCTTTTTGGCTTCCCAGCAAGGATGAGCATGCCTGGGTGCAGGCTGAGTGGCTGAGTGATGGTAGAAATCATTTTGTTTTCCCTTCCTAAGTAGTCTGTAGCTCATTTATTTTTTAAAAACTTAGTTCTTCCTATTGTGATACCTTCACTTGCCTTACTTTGGTGAATATTACTTTCCTCCCATCCCTCTGGGACCACATTTCTGTATTGCTGTGATCACTGTTCAGAGAGTTAATCTCTAACATAAGCGAGGAGAAGTCAAAGAAATGAAAACAAATGATGGCATCATTCCCTAGAGACAGTAGGTTTACTTGTCTGGGTTCATAGCAAGATGCTCTGGGTTTGCCTCTGTGAGCAATTTAACTTGATTTATCTCTCCAACCACCAGTGAAATACCTCTATATTGTATTTCTCCAGTAGTGGCCGTGGCACCCGGAGTTGTTGCCTCTCTATGTGCTTTTCATAATGAATGCAGTTCTGGCATTATTTGTCTGAGTGGTTGTGTACTCTGACAGTTTGTCATGATTCCCTTCCATTTACTTCAGGTGGTTGTATTTAATAATGCCTTTGCTTTGGGGAGGAAAGAAAAGCAGAGCAGCTGCTAGAAATATGGCAGAAAAACAGTTGTTTTTCACAAACAGGGCTGAGTTTTTCTTTTCCCTGGGTCTTCATAGACAGGTCTGAAAAAAATTTGGAGCATTTAACTCTGAAGACTTTTGTGGAAAATTAACTGGGGGTGGAAACCAGGATCCTCAGGGTGATCCTGGCCGAATGCTTTACTGCCATCAGCTGCACTGTTCTCCGCGTTGGTAGCGGGTAGAACTTGGCTCTGGGAGTTACAGCATCCAAAATGTGCAGTGTTGCCATGTGCCCACTGAAGGCCCTTTTATACCTGCTGAGATTCAATATAGATGTGCTTTAATGCCAGAAATGAAAAAAGTGTTTGCAGAATAAGTGGTAACTGCTGATGGCTGGGAACACGGCGAGGTGCTCAGGCAGAACTCTGCAGCGGGCTGTCCCTGCCCATGGGGATGTTATGATGCACTCTGGGGCACAGGGTGGGGTGTAGGATGAGAAGCGATGGCCTCACATTGCACCAGGGAGGGTCAGGATGGTATCACAGCAATGTCTGCTCCAGAGAGTGGCGCTGGCACAGCTGCCCAGGGTGGGCAGTGTCCATCCATGGAGGCGTTCAGAGCTGCAGGGATGTGGCACTGAGGGACGTGGGCTGTGGGCATGGTGGGGGTCTCAGAGGGCTTTTCCAGCATTAATGGTTCTGTGATTCTGTGTGTGTGGATGTGGAGATGAAGGAGGGGGATGTCTGATAATGCAGCAACCCACCTCCAGCACTAGGGGCACTGCAATCACCAACTTGGCCAAATGCACACGACATCTAGAGCACCATGTTTAATTAAAAAAAAAAAAAAAATCTAATAAATCTCCTAATAACAGACCATTTAAAATTAACACACAAATAAAAATGTTTTCTTGAAGTTCCTGCTGGCTTCAGCAGAATCAGTCTTCTCCCTTTGGGTCACAACTGCTTAAATTACTGGGAAATAGCACAGAAAGCATCACTGTGATCCCTCAACTCCCTCCAGGAGAGCAGCCTGCTTGCTGTGGAATGTCCACACCTTAGCCCTTCCATGTTACCTATATATTAACCTGCATAATATTTGTGGTCTGAGTGCAATAGATGGGCTACAGGAACTGCAGGCATGAATTAGTCCCCAAGTGACCCCCTATGTCCTGTCCCCTCTACCTGCAGGTCACAGCCTCTACCTACAGGGCACCCCCAGGCTGAGTGCCATCAGCATTGCTGCAAGGCCCTGCCGATTGCTGCCAAGTTTGGCTTGCATTGGGTGAAGCCAAATGCCTTTGTTTGTTTGTTTGCTTTCCTCCTTTTCCTACTTTGAAGAGAAAATGTGTTTCCTGGCATCACAAGAAAGCGGTGCTCCTGCTCGGAATGAGCACTGCATGAGAAACAAGGATGTGTTTAGCTTAAAAGAGCATTCCTAATGAAGTCCTTTCACATCTGAAGAGGCTGCAGTTGTGTGCGCAGCAGGATGAGCTTTTGAGGCTGTATTTGTTTGTGTGAGAAATAATGTTACATTAATCTGTGGTGGTTTTCCTCCAAAAAGAATAAAATGTTGACTTAACGCAAACAATGTAGTCAACTGGATGTTGATCCTCCCAACCTGCATAGATCTTCTTACAAACCATGAGCAGCTTTTGTGTTAAAATCAGAATGTTTGCTCCAGAACCATCAGGCTGGCTGCAGGGTTACAAAATATGGGAAACGTTTCCCTTTGCTTTGCAGGATGAGTGCTGTGTGGTGGGAAACTGCAAAATGGAGAAAACACCAAAGTGAGAAGGAGGTGGCACTGCTACAGGCTGGCTTTGGCTGCCGCTTCTTTCTGCTCTGATGCTGTCTTATAATCCTACAGGAGATTAGGGAAATGTAAGTCATTCATAAGGTTTTTGTAAGTGGCCTAAGGTGAAATGGAGGCCTTAATTAAAACGTGTTATTTACTGATCACTGGAGGGTTCTCTCGTCTGTTCCATTTCCTCATTTAATGCCTTCCTGTTTGAATCATCATCCTGCTCTGCCCTGGGAAGCAGCACAGCTCCCTGGCAATGAACACCTGCAGCGCTGCTCCTTGGAGGAAACGTTGTTCCTGATGCCCAACCTGACCCTTCCCAGCACAGTGTGAGGCCGTTCTCTCTTGTCCTATTGATGCTACCCAGGGCCGAGGCTGACCCCCTCCTCCACCCCCAAAAACCTCCTGTCAGGAGCTGTGGGGGTGATGTGGTCTTTCCTGAGCCCCCTCTGGTCCAGACTGACCCACCCAGATGTTAGTGTTGTTTTGATGATGCATACGTTTGGCAACAGTCATCAGATTTCCAACAAAATGAATAAGCAGGCA